GAGCGAAACCGAGAGCGACTGTATGTTCGATCTTATGCCTTCTAATGCCGCAATCGCCAGATATTCACCTCGTCCGCTAGTTCCGCAAACAATACTAGCCAAGACCTACCAACGGCACAAATATACAACCTAAAAGCTATTAACTATACAAATATGTCGAAATCGATCAGTCGTGGAAGGGGTCTCAAACATGCACCTTATGTCAGAGCTATGGACTAGCTGGGGAGTGGGTATGTATCCATGGTTATTCGGTGTGCTGCCGTGGGGCCGTGGGCGCTACCCGCATGGAATGTTGCCTATACATCAGAAGAACCGCCTGCCTAATGATGACTTCTTTCAAGCTTAGCGTGAAAGGACTGAGCTTTATTTTGTTTCTCAATCGAATCCTACTTTGGGCTGCGATCCGGTAGCTACATATAATGGCGAAGGAGTGAATAATTAGAAGGCGGGTGACGCAGATAAGACAAAATCTTCTCGCATCGCACAGCCACACTTATCGTTAGAGCAGTCCGAGGTGTGAAGCAGCTTTCATTTTAGTATAATGAACAAAGAACCTTCATGTAGCTGTCGTCCTTTGTGGCGTAACGCATTAAATGCGCAAGATTCGTCTTGATAGTTTCTCGAGTTCCATCACTTTTCATGACATTCTTGAACATAACTCCTAAATCATGAGGCTTCAGAATACTTTTCCTTTACTGCAGGAAATACACAGTATGTATGTGAGATATCAAACACAGCATCACTGAACCCTGAATCCTTATATATAATTGATAACGTCTGACAGATATTTCTTCACCCAATGGCGACTGAGAATAGTATCCATTTCAAAAAGCAAGAGAAAACAGCCAGTAGTGAAAAGGCTGCAGGTGGGTTCGTTCTGAAACCGTCCTGACCGACCGCAGTTATTTCTACGTTGCGACCGCGTGCGCAGTCTAGGAAAGTATTTCCTAGGTAACTAACTGACTTGATACAACGAAGCGGCGCAGCCATTTTGGATCGTTTGGGTCCTGGTGCAAGCATCGCGCACCACACTTGCAATGCCTTTTTGCCACACTTGCCTCATGGTAGAACTGACGATAAACACTCCTGAGTTCTACTGCACAGTGCCCTATGTCAAAGGCAGCGGATACCATAAATCGACTCGACGTATGGGATAAGTACACCCAGTAGGAACGAGTACCGTGGCTCATAGTAAGCATTGCGTGGCTCCTCTTCTAACAAAGGTGCTCTCTTTACGTCTCACAATCGAGGCTGAGCAAGCCGAGTGCCATTCCCGCCAAAATCCGCACCCCCACAAAAGGTCGCATGTGCAGGCAATCACTCTCGATCGTTTTCACTCATTGCTGCTTAACGGTGTTTTCCACCGTTCCGGGTCATTCTAGAGAAGTACGTTTTTATTGCAAACAAAAGATGTCGAAGATTCGCGATAATCAACTGAAAAAAGGACGAAAAAGTTAAGGGAGAAGGAAGCGAAAAACTTAGAAACGGGCACTACTTGCAAGAAAACCTTGTGTTCTGCTAAAGAAAGACATTCTCGTTACCAGTAAGAATTAAGTCTTACTTGACTAACTAGGTCTTCAGGAGGAACTCTAAAAAAGGATTAAAAATCACTATTCAGCCGCAGAGTGTACGTGGAAAGAGCTGGCTCGATGAACTGCTAATCGACGCGGCAATTCGTGGGCTTCTCATTTTTGGTGGGAGCACGAGTGGCATGTTAAGCTTTGCTGGGTTTCTGAGAGACTGCTTTTCATAGAAAAGACACCATGTAAGGCTTGCTCAACTCATCGGATGTCGGCGTAATCATCTTACACCTTTAGGACATACAGGGGGGGGGGCAAAAAAAAGTCACTTCGACCGAGTCACATATCAGCAAAGTTTTCGCAGCCCAGAGAGAAGACGTGGATACGAGTACCAGGGCGGAAGATACCCAAGATGTTCCTCGATAAGCAGGAGCTGGCTCTCGCCCATCACCTTCATGTACACCAAAATATGAAGTCATCTCCAGTCGCAGCCTGACTGGAGAAGACCTTTGGAATTCATGTCACCTCCAAACAGCTGCGAAACTTCTAGTATGGAGTCACCCATGGATAGCTACCTGGAGGCAGTACTCTCGATCTGGATGACCTCCAACATCGAGCAGCTCCGACAACGTCGCCACGGTCTAGGACATCATCACGGCAGTCGCCAAGGCGCGGGTTGATGGTATGGACCGGACGCACCTGGAATGGAAAGACCAATATTTTCTTCGTGGACCCCGGGCTGAAGCTGAGCGCTGGCGGTTACATCGACCAACTCAAGAAGAATATCTTCCCCACATGTCGTCGCCCGTACCTTCTTGGAAACTTTGTACTGCTACAGGCATTGGGTGCCACCACGTGGAATCGAAAGGGCGTGTGAAGAAACTGCTCGGCGAAGGGGGCTGAGTACCTAAAAAAGATGGAATATTTAAGTAAGTCACCTGACCTGAATCCCCTCAATTACCCGGTTCGGGCGGAGTTCAATAGGGTGGTCTACGGGCGGTAGCAATGATATCTCGCTGATGCTCAGGGAACCGAACATCGGGCGGGGGGGGGGGTTTTTTTGTTGCGTGCCAGAATCTCTCGATGGCGCTCCTCCAGAAGGCTGTGGCGGAGTGTCATAATAGTATTTAATATGCTCTTTAATATGGTGGTAGAAATGTCCGATCAGAATTTATAAAGTGTAACTTATAGCGCCTCGAAAGTCAATGAAGCAAAGTGACTTTTTTTTGCCGCTCCCCCCTGTATATCATGCCCTGCTTGAAGACGACTTTCGACGTCATTTCGAGTCTCGCCGTCACTTGAAATAATGTTCCTTTTCACGACTACATAGTAATGATATTCATATTCTGATCGAGTGATTTTATGCTCCTCCATTTCCTAAACTGAAGCGGCTAATAAGGCACTACTGACGTCCATAATTTGGCTGTCTCGTTCCCGTTTTCGCTTCAACATTGCGTTGCCATTCTTTAAGCTCCGCCAGCATCTGTTTTGCGCAGAGAACCAAATCAGCGTTTAAGCTTTTGATCCTGGAAAAATTGCAAGACTAACTTCACTAACCGGCGGTAATAAGCACAAGGCCATAAATAACATGGACCAGAGATAAAGCGATGAGACGATGTGATGTTATACTGACTCCACCTGGTGTTGTGAAACTAAAGCAAAGCTCATTATGCTTCAGAAGAGAATGAAGTGAGGAGATGAAATAGATGTAAAATTGTATATATCTCAAATACGTTCAAGAACAGGTTTGACATCCTTATTTGGAGGCGTTTTCCGCTATTGTAAATCCTGGGTATTAAGGTATAAACATGAAAAGTCAGGTGTTATTGACCTATTCAAGTGAAGGAGAAAGTAGCAGAACATCGACGAGAGCGCCGTGCATGGGGCATTCCACTTCGCATGATTTTGGGTAGAGCAAGTAGGCGTGAAGTCAAATAGGAATGCGAACGAGAGAATGAAGAAAAGGAGTAGAAGTGTGAACGACGATCGGGTTCAAATCATGGGTGTATATCGTTAGTCTCGAGATGCGGCATCGCACGCAGACTAGCACACTATCTGCTACCGAGACCAGCTGACCCACTGCAGCATTCCCGCGTTAAAGGCACTTGGCACGATAATTTGGTACTCAGCCTGAAATGCTAGCAGGGCGCTATCTAGTGGAAAATGGCGAAAAAACGAAGTGAAACGGTCGAAAACTGCGAAGAAAAGCCTTCGTTCTTGAAAAGCAATTTCGGACGAGTTTCCCGTAGGCATATTGCAAATAACCGCTACGGTAGGTACGGCTGCATGTATGTACTCATATATCCATTCAGCACCGCAGCCGCTTCATACCAATCCCTTCGCTTCATATTTTACTTAGCAAATGAAGCAATACGAGCATCAGGAACGGTCGTCCATTTGTGGGCGGGCGGGCGTGGTGGGCGTTCGGGTCGGTATGTTGTAGCTTGATAGGACCCTTATAAGGGTACCTTCCCTAGGAAAAATCGCTGTGCAGCGCCTGCTCAGGGTCGCGGAATTCCGCCCTGCCAGGCGTATCAATCCTACTCGTCTTTAGAGATTTATCGTGCCAACTGCCTTCAAGTCTTGGTGCAAATGCTGCGTACTCGTCTTGCCTGCAGCATTGCGCTTGCCGCTAGCAGGAGTAAAGATGTACACCTTCAATTCACAAGCGTTCGTAGTCTCTACAAAGTGCTTGAACTGCGAGAAAGTTGCAACCTCTAAGAAGGTGGGCCGATAGCCGGTGCCAACACTGGCCCTTTCTTCTCCGTTTAGCCATCCAACCTAGGCTGCGTTCATGCTTTGCCGCAGCATCCACCAACATTCAGAGCATCCGGCAGGGCCAGCGACTAGGAAAGTAGAGATATCGATCTAGCGTCGCCAACATCTGCCAACGTCCAGCAACGACAACAGCGTCCGGGAATGCAGAGCATGGAGCAATAGGAGGGTAGCAGACAGCTGGTAGAGTACGGGGAGGTAGGAGGGATCAGACTGCGGTAGAGGTATGGCGCGATAGGAGGGTGGGAGATAACTGGTACCCTCATATCGCCCCATGCTCTCTACCAGCAGTTTGTTGCTGGTCGCTGGCAGACGCTAGATCGATACCTATACTTTCCTATTCGCTGACGCTGCCGGACGCTCGAAATAGTGGACGCTGCCGCAAAGTATGAGCGCAGCCTTACACTTTGTCAGTGGCCACTGATTGGAAAGTAAGGCAGCAGCAAAGTTGTCAAAAGCGAGAACTTTTCGGAATTTGTCTTTCTATTTCATAGAATGACCTCGAGAGACTCCCAAGCTACGGTTTCTGTAATCACCAGTCTGACCATCTTGTGGCGAAAAGTCTGGTCAGCCTGGTTCCACGATAACATTGTAATTCACCTACTTTATTGCGAAGGCACCGTATATTGTGCGGATTGTCAGGATAGCTGCCAGTGCTAGGGCTACAGGAGCGACGAGCGCAGCTGTTGATGTTTGATTGGTGAGCGTTTTCCTAAAAGAAGGCCTTGTCCACAACATTTCTGCTCTATGTAGCCGCTGATACTCTGTAGCTGCGTTCACAGCTCGCGAGTTTGCAGTCAACATCGACGTAATTTACTGGATAGATGAGATTCTTATCGATTGACTTGGTAGCCGTAACCGACTTAATCGACGTAACTAGCGTTAAATCAATACGGATCTAATCGTCTGAGAGTAGTCGCCGATTACGTCGGGTCGGTACGTACTTGATTCTCAGATAAGTCGCCAGAAACGTCGACTGAGCTGCGTTCATACTTCGCAGCGTACGCTAGCGCGCGGCAGCGTTTCTAGCGTATGCTAGATTCCCCGTAAACCTTCATAGTCGCTGGCACTGACGTTCGCTCGAAACGCTACCGCACGTTGGCATATGCCGCCGCGAAGTATGAACGCAGCCTTGAAACGACGTGATCATTAATCCTTAGCGAAACCGACTTGAAGACAGAGAATAGCTCTGCAAGCTCTATTCCAGATGATACTGCCACCAGATGGAAGAGCAATTCGCAAAGAAGTAGCAGCTGTAGAAGGCGTATCCATACTCTGGACACGTCCACGTACTCTGTTGCTGGCTAAAGAACATGTTTTGAGTCAAAAGTTTCCTCTCATAGTTTAAAGGTGGCAGCTTACACTCACAATAAACTCCACCGCTTGTACTGATCGTGCAGAGACCGCAGGCGTTCCACCTATAGGTGTGTTTGGGGCACTTCTACCGACCGCTGCGCCTACGGGCGTGCCGCCTTGAGGTGCAGGGGATGCAATGTTCTGTGGAGTCTCTGGTCCAGGAGATGGCATTACTTGTTTGGGAGCAGGAGGTGATAGCTTTGGCGTGGGTGCAAGCATCTGAGGAGAAGCTGCTTTCGGTGGTGGCACCAGTGGGGGTGGTTTCTGTGGTGGCGCCGGTATAGGCTGAGGAGCCGCTAATGGTATGGGTGGAGGCCTAAGCACACGGTCTGACCCAGACTTTGGCTCTGGTGCCAGCGGACGACCTAGCAGTGGGTTTGCCGCGGGGGGCAATGGCTGAATGCCATGGGGCAACGGTGCCACTCCTTGAGGTGGTGGTGACTGCGCCATTTGAGGAGGGTGAATTGGACCCGGTGGTGGAATCGGTGTAGCGGCCACTGGGAGTGGTAAGGGACCTGGCAAAGGTGGAGGTAGTGGTTGTGGTTTAATTATAGGTGGTGGAGGCTCTCGGGATCCTGAAACAGCAGTAGAAGAGAACTTTGTGAAGAAGTTGGTGAACTGCAAAATCATTACTTTCAACCCACCCATTCTAATGGTAGTCAAGCATTGAATGATCCGCTAAGTTTTGATAGGATTATATTGTCTTCCGATAAAAATACCTACATGAACTTGTTGGCTATTGAGCTGATATGACATGATTTATATGAGCTGAAAGGGTTCAATCGTTAAAAAGGATTTTTGCGAACGAACAAGAAGTAAGACGTACCAGTTTCGATTGCGAGGAGCAGCCACCAGTACTCATTCAAACAAACTCTTCCCTTTTTAATCCTTGGAATCTGGTATCTCATAGAAAAGAGGCAGTTCAACTGATGTACCACACAAAATTCTTGAACGGCAAGATTTCATTCAATTTCCTTCATGTAAAGGAAGGACGGTATGAGAGTACATAGGTGAAATGAGCGACATCTGATGGTGTTCAAATAAAGATGACGCATATCTCATCCCAACACCTCTATTTCAATTTTCGCCAAATTTTCCAGATATCGTGGAATGTATTTGGACGGACTCTTATGTTCTCCGAAAATACCGAAATGAGCCTCAGGGCAAGGATACAAACAGCGATTAGAAAGCGGCAAATCGGGGAACCATTGTGGACCTTAAGATGTGATCGTTTGACACAAGACAGATACCGTTACAAATTCACACTCACAGAATATAGAGAGCTCTCGATCGGAGCAAATCGGAAAATAACAAAAGGCCATTGAGCTGGCGAGGTAAAGACGGCCCGGTAGCGTTAGGATACGCAACCGCCCGGAAAGCGGGAGATGCGAATTTGAGTCCCGTCCGAGGTCTGATTTTTGCCCATAAC